CTTTTTTTTTTGGGTTAACTGACACATACATCTCTTTTCTTTTCTTTTTTTTTTTTGACTGACACATACATCTCACAAAAACGATCAGACCAAACAACGAGCATCAGAGGACGGGTAGATAGCTTATGTGCGGCGGTATTACCGGTAGTAAGCTTCGCCTACGACCGGTAGCTTGTGGGATTGCATCAGGCAGAGCAAATAAGCGTTTTCGTCTTCCTGTGATTTCCAAAGAAATATATGATCTAACTACAAAAAGAACAAAAAAGAAAACAGGAAAGCTTTATTTTTCTATAAAAAAAAATGGCCTCCCTTCTCTCCCATCGCCGTCGCCGCCCCCGTTCTTCCCCCCCTTCCCCCCTCCCCCCCCAAAAAAGACTCCAGCTAAATCTGACGAAATTACCTATAAAAACAAAGGAGCAAATTTCATTCTCGAAATGGAGCTTTCAGCTCTTTCTTTCTTTACTGGCTTCTTCTCCTCTTCTGAGAAGTTCTTTTATTCCCTAAATTTTTATTTTATTTTATTTTTTAACAGTGCATTTCGTACACAATCCAAGGAGGCCAGGAATCCCTAAATTTATTCTATCCTCCCTTAATTTTATTCTCAAGGACCCCTCAGCTCCGTTCCTTTTACCATTTTTTTCCCCAAAGACCGGGTCTTTTTTGAACCTTTCGTGATCCCGCGGCTCCTACTCTCTTTTTTTTCCCCCGGCTTCTAATCATCATCTCAGAAGTACTTTGTTCCATACATTTTTTATTTTCAAGGAGCCCTCAGCTCCGTCTTTTTTTCTTTTTTTTTCCTGGACCGGTCTTTTTTTTTTTTTTTTTTTTTTTAGGACCGGTCTTAGAACCCCTTGTGATCCACGGCTTTCTTTTTTTTCCCCCCTAACCTTCTCAGAAGTTCGTTTTCCATAGGTTTCATTGTCAAGGATCTGTCTCTTATACACATCTAGATGTGTATAAGAGACAGGCTACCGGTAGTAGACACGGCTTACCGGTACTGCACATAAGCCACTAGTAGATTCGTTGGCCTAGGGGGTAGGGAGCGGGGGCGGAGGGGGACGGACTTCGTACCTAACCTGTTTCTCCCGAATACAACGCACCCAACCAGGAAATTGATTGGCCCATATGGATCATCTTTCTAAGAACAGCAGGCGGGGGCCAGAAGGCGGGGGGCGGGGGGCGGAAGGGGAGAGGAAGGGCGGAAGCAAGGGGGAAGCAGGGGGGCGCTAAGAATAACGTAACCTTCTTCACCCGAACACGACGCACCGTCAAAATGACTGCACCTGACCGGACAGATGGATTCTATACATTCACGATCAGGGTGCGTTGTGTTCGGGGGAAGACGGGCGGGGAGTCGTTGGACATAAGAGGCCAGTGGTCCTCACAGCTCACTCACCTTCTTTCACCAACATCGAGAGATGCTTTGCCTGTCTCTTATACACATCTAGATGTGTATAAGAGACAGGAGAGAGAGAGAGAGAGAGAGAGACGAAGGGAGGGAAGGAGAGGAGGGAAGGAGAGGAGGGAGGGAAGGAGCGAGAGAGGGAGGGAGGGAGGGAGGTAGGTAGGGTGGGAGGAAAGGGGGGAGGAAAGGCCGGAGGGGAGAAAGGAGGTAGGAACAAAGGGAGAGAAAAAGGGAGGGAGGGAGGGAGGGCGAAAGGGAGGGAGAAGATGGGAGAGACAGAGGGAGGGAGAAAAGAAGGGAAAAAGGGAGAGAAACGGAGGGACAAAGGGAGGGACAAAGGGAGTGGGGAAGAAGGGAGGGAAGCAGAAGGGGCAGAGAGAGAGAAAGGGAGAGGGAAGGAGAGAGGGAGAGAGAGAAGGAGGGGGTGGGAGAGAGAGAGGAAGGGAGGGGGGGGAGAAGAAAGGACCCAGAGAGAGAAAGGGAGGGACGAAGGGAGGGAAGGAGAGGAGCGAGGGAAGGAGCGAGAGAGGGAGGGAGGGAGGCAGAGAAGCAGGGAGAGGAGGGTGGTGGGAGGGGAGGAGG